GAAAGAAAGAAAGAAAGAAAGAAAGAAAGAAAGAAAGGAAAATATCATCCTGGATCAAGCGAAGAAAACGCATATAAGTAATAAAGAAGCAATAAGAATGTAATAAAATAAATGAGAACAAAGGAGAAGAAAAACTGAAAATATGTGAGTAAATAAAACCGGATGAAAGAAAATCAAGAAAAAAACTAGCAAGAAAAACGTAAAAAAAAGAAAGAAAATGAACTAAAAAAAAAATAGAAGAAACATAAATGATAAAAATAAAATTTTATCCGAACCTAACTAACAAAAGAAACTATGACTAAAACTAATACCGGAAGTTGATACGGAGAAATACAGAAACCTAGAAAGGGGAGATAATTTAAAGCTGGTTAGATGACTGTTGATGGGGTCGGAAAGTATACACCCGATAAAAGGGAGGTTGATTTTGAAAAATAAAATTCATTATTATAATATTTCATCACTTTTTCTCTTCCTCTTACACCCTCTCTATTTCAATCTCTCTCTCTCTCTCTCTATCTATCTATCTATCTATCTATCTATCTATCTCCTGTATATATATATATATATATATATATATATATAAAGTGAATATAAAGTCAACATTAGAGGCGACAGTCTGTTTTCATGCTAGATGCTATCGGTAGCCTGACGATTGCATCTAGCATGAAACAGACTGTCGCCTCTAAGTGTTGACTATGTTCACTTTTATATTTTTACACACGTTCTATCTCTGATATTGAGCACATTATCCCATAAACAGAGCACATTTTAAGACTATATTTCTTTATATATATATATATATATATATATATATATATATATATATATATATATATCAAAAACACACACACACACATACACGCTCGTACACACACAAGCAATTTTCTGTCTCATAACTATGATGGTTGTGCATTTTATATCACGACTGAATTTCAACCAATTTAAAAATCAGGATTTTGAATGCTGGTTGTTAATATAAACTGATTTTTCTCTTTCGTTCTTTTTTAAATCAACCCAATAGAAATGTCAGGAGTCACTCAAGATAGAACATTAATGAATGAGATGTGTGATATGAATGTAAGAGTGGGAAGTGAATACTATAAGGATATACATTATAGATAACGATTGACCCATGACTTGAAGACGTGAATATTGTCACATTCTTGGAACCAACCCCGGTAGAGTCTGTTCTAAAAAGCAGCAATTCCTGGGAAAAAGGAAACTTCTTCCATACAAATGGAATACGGGGTTAATGAAGGTGGTTCAAATCCGTGGACGTAGCATTACAGTTTTTGGGTATTGTTTTGCTTTGTTTTGTTTTTTCTTCATTTCACTCCCAAGCAAGGCGGTAATGCCACTAGGATGCAGTGGAGGGTGGGAATGAAAGAGAATGAGAAAAAGTGAGGAAAAGTGAGGAAAAGGACAATAAAAGAAAATGATTCAGGAATGTAGTAAATGGAAATTGTCGTTGCATTTACATTTTTTAAACATTTTAGGTGGCAGGAAAGCAAAAAATCCAACGGCGTTCCACAAGATGCAGCGAGACATTTATTGTAAAGTTTGGAGAAAACATCACCCAGTTCAAGAACACATTTCTTTAGGACAATTACAAGGATACCGTCAGACTTGATTTAGAAATGATCGCAAGAACCATGGACAGAGTTATGCAGAGACTCTGTTCTTTGGTGCAAATCAGACAGAGAATGGAGTTTGAAAAGAATTTTTGAGCAAAGCCGCTCTGGTATCGCCGGAAGAAGTGATTCCTGTGGGCTACAGCGGCTGAACAGGTAGGAGAAACACAACAAGGTGATTGTGGTTTCACTGTGTATTTCCGTGCTGGCACGAAAACTTTGTTGTCGATTTTCACTCAGGAAGAGATCTCCGTGAGACATTTCACAACAGAATGATTAAATAATATCATTCCAAGGGGCATCGCGAACGAAATCACGAAAGGTGTCCCGATTATTGCGTTGATCAGAAAGATGTTCTATTAATAGAGGATTCTTGCCAAATGGGAAAGCGGAAAGAGATATCTATAGACATAACTGTTACCAAGAGAACAGCTGCAGAGGTGGCAAGGAAGAGATCAAAAACACAAATATGTCCGTCAGAGTTACTAGAAAAATGTGTGGGAAAGTCTATTATTTGAGTGAGAGATTGATCGATAGAGAGGTTAAAATTTTGGAAGCCAGCGAGGTCAGTGGCGTTAGAGTGATGAAGCTACTTGACATAACGCGCGTTGAAGTACTCAAACACTTGCAGACTAGTGTACATAGAGGGGTTTATACTATCAGAAATTCTCTCGGGCAAGCAACATTCACGAGAAGGGGAACGATAAAGGAAGTAGTGATAACTGACTGAGTGTAATAGTGAAAGTCAGAGGCAGATCTGAACTGGTGGAACTAAAAAATGGAGCTCGTCCGAACATTTGCCATAGGAAGTAGGGATAGAATATCAACGTGGCATCGATAGTTAAGGGGCTGCGGGATGGGAAATACGTCATTCTCATAAGACCGCGTTGATTCTTTTGAACCCCGTCTAGGCTGGAAAGTGAGAATTGGGTAGCATCTGGAGAAAGACAATCTTCTTTCTCTGTGCAGCTTTTCCATCACGAAGAACGATCTTTTTCACTGGTTTTAAATAAAGACATTTTCTCTTGAGGATATTTGGTTTGTTTTACAGCATACCAACCTCAATGGTTTATTTAATGCCGACGAGATTTTTTATTGCTGGTAACTTTTATTTCTTTATTCTCAAAAATGTATTGCTAGTAATATTTTTTTCTTCAAAGAAATGTCTTGCTAGCAATAATGTATTACTGGTAATAATTATTTAAAATTGTTGATATTTTTTTCCTCAAAAATGTATTGCTGGTAATATTTTTCTTGGTTTGTTTTACGGCATATGGGTTATTTAATGACGACAAAATTTTTATTTCTGGTATTATCTCTTTTTCAAAAATGTATTGCTGGTAATAAGTTTGTTTTTTTGCAAAATATTTCTTCTATTAAAACCTATTTTTACATTTACATAGTGTTTTGATCCCAGTTTGGGTGTTAACTATTTACCCATATTTGGGACCCTAGCAGGTACTACCACCCCGGGTCAGGGTGAACCGGGGAACACCAGCAATTAAGAGGTGGTTCCACGCTCCTCAAAACCTCCTGAACAGAGGCCTTTCTGTTGGATGTAGTGTATCGTCTTACACTGGACAGATTCATTTATGAGCAAGTGCCCTTGAAAAACGTATGGATCTAGCTATCACCCTCTAGCTATAGACAGTAGAGCAAATTAAACTCTTCGTCTTTGGTTCGCAACTAGTCTAGGAGAACGACTCTGAATTAAAATAATAAATAACACGCCCTGATGAAACACGTAGATTGTGGAGTTGGGTCTTCCTTGTCACACAGTTTTGCGGAATTTAACTTCATAAGACACAAGACTAAATTGCAAGAATTTTGGAATATGCTATCTTGAGAATCACCATTCGAGAATTTTGTTTTTACCTGGCCTCAAATATGTGCCTGCCAGAGGGTTTACAGATTACGCTTCCTTAATTATTATTTACTATAACCTGAACGGATATATAAATTCTATTAGAGAAAGGACTAACCATTAATTGTAAGAAGAAAGAATGTTTGGTTGTCAACAAAAGGGGTAGCCCAAGTTGCGAGCTACAAATTGGGTATGTCAAAATCAAACAACTACTAAAATCTAGAAAATGTATAAGAGATGATGAAAATGTGACGCCGAAATCCGGATAACAAATAATGCCTTCCAAAAGCTCATTAGAAATAAAGAAAAGAGTGCTGAACAGTCATGTAAATATCAGCCCTTCTATATGGCAGCGAATACTCGACAATCTCCTAGCAGATAACATGAGTCTTCAGGCAACAGAGATGTAGTTCTACGGAAGGATGCTGAGAATACCATGGACAAAGCATGTGAATAATGACAAAGTTTTAAAGAAAATGGAAACAGAGGTCGCTTATATTTAGAATCATAAAGAAACAGATGAAATTTCTGGGACACAGGATATAATGAAGGCAAGAATGACAAAATGAAAGCAATGAGTAACGCATCTAACGAGCTTGTATAGATGGATGGCACAACAGGGATTGTGAGGTATAAGGAAAAGACTTACCTCACTAAGAACTACAAAGGATAGTAAGATGTAAATAGCCATGAATATCAACATCATGTAGGGATACAACATATAGAAAAACTAAAAGATTTATACTTATGTGTATGTGTGTGTGCCCTTGACGCATACGTGCATCAAAACAGTACTTTTGGGAATTTTTGCATATATGCCTTCCTATCAATATCCAGCAAAATTCATCTCCTAATATTCAGGAGTGGAGTAGAGGATAACGGCTCGGATTGAGAAATCGGAGAGCCGAGTTCGAACACCAGTCAAATCCACTACATTTACTTAGGTGCTAATAACCTTGGGAAAGGAATGAATCCTCTTCTTCTCCCACCAGCTATGGGTAAATAACAGAGCAGACTGGGTTCTATAGCCTTGGATGGCAACTGGTCTACTGCAGAAAGAAATGGCAACCTACTGCGGGAAAAATCTGCCTCGTCAGTCATGTATCGAAAGTTACATAATCGCCTAAGCGTGTATCACGCATGGCACATAACTGACTGAATATTCAGGGATGGTGTCAGTAAATACGGAATGAATAAAATCAACAATGACTGATGATGTTTTTTTTTTAATCACACTATCAACAAACACGTCTTTCAAAGCTGTTTTATCTTCTATTAAGCGTAACTTAAATACGATACAAAGCCGAAAGTATCAGACACTCAGTGAGGAACGAACTCACTATTCAGTCGAAATTTATCTTGCGCGATATCTTTGTGCTAACCATAGCACCACATCGTAGTTACCTTATTTTATCTTTTATATGTTAACGTTATTTAATGTACAGGATTTACAAAAAAGAAAAAAAAGTGTATATATGTATATTGCATCCGGAAAAGCACAAAGCTTACGGTCATATCACGTTGAAACACCGTTACCGTACGATCATCGAAGTTAAGCAAGGTAAAGCCTAACCAGTATCTAGATGGGTGACCGCTTTGGAATACCAGGTAATGTGAGCTTGTATGTGCCGGTGGTGTAACGGATAATGACTCGGAATTGTTAATCGGAGAGCCGAGTTCCAATTCCAGTTGTGTTCTTTATTGTCACTTAAGCGAAAATACCCTTGGGAAAGGTATGACTCCACCTCTTTTCCCCTCCAGCTATGGGTTATTTGGTAATACTTTATCTCTAAATAGTTATTATCTCTCCCTCACCAACACCAAAAAAAGTTCTTACAATCTAAAAATATTTTCTGGCTTTAAATAAACCTGCAAAGGGTTGATAAGCCGTAAAAATGAACCAGTTAATCAATGTATGTATATATGTGTATAGCCGGCCACTCGTATTCGAGGATACCCGTCTACTAGGGCGGCTAGCCAATCCAATTTTCAGACGCTTGCTCAGGCATATTTGTGTCCATTCAACACCCACAGAGCCCACCAGTGGTTTATACTACAACTATGTTGAGCAGACCTTAGTTACAGTTTCTGGGAGAGAGCGTGCTATCTTGCGTGATCAACAATTTTGAACAAGGCCAGCACGCTCAAACCCTCAGCCACGATGACTTGTGACTTCGTGCTAGGGTTCCGTCTACCCAATTTCACTTACAAGGCTTAGGTCAACCCGTGGTATGTTTTTCAGGCACTTTTCAAAGGTGCCGCACGCTAGGATCGACTTCGACCCCTCCAGTCTGGCAAATCGACTGTGGTGAGATTTGAACCTGGGTCCCATGGTCAGAATGCGAACGTGCATAACCACTCGGCCACAATACAATGTAGGATAAAAGAGATTGTGGAGCATGTGCAATGAACCAATACAAACCGTAACAAAAGATGTTTTATATATTCCGGGTTTGGATATAAGTCTTTTGCGATTAACTGCTCCCCAAGAAATAAATAACGGATTCGAAAAAAGTAGTGTCACCAAGTGAAGACAGCAACGAATGAAAAATATCTAGAATTTTTGCTTTTTCATAAGAGTTGATGGTGAACCAAATGCTTCTTTTTGGGAATCAGAGAAATATTGTTATAGCTTTGGTTGGGAAGTGTCCATTTATTTGCTCTATTCAGTAGAATTTCAGTTTAATATTTATTTTCCTCTTTACTGTATGATTCCAATTTCCTACAATATAACAAAAACACATAAAGGAGTTCTTAGCTCGCCTATGTAAAAACTAAAAAGAAATCAACAACATTTCTCAGAATAACGCCCACCGTCCCAAACACGGAACTAAGACGCCCTCAGAAGCCCATGTTTACTCGTGACAATCGAAAGAATTTTTTTTTCTCAGGACATCCCCAGTTAAAACAGAAATCATTTTTATATACCAAAGTATTCTATATATGACCAAATATAATAATTAAACGGCAAAATTAAATTAAAATCGTATTAAATAAAGTTAACTAACAAGGTTTACCCAAGAGGCCGTTTTGATTTCGAAGCTTTTTAAAGCCGGATAAACATGTCAAAAGCTATGGGTGGAGATATAACGTATATATATATATATATATATATATATATATATATATATATATATATATATATATATTTAAGATCTTTGAAAATCAGTTATGGAATAAATTCAACATATTCAACGAAAATCGAGCCTTACGTGTATGAAATTTCCCACAAGTATTAAGTATTTACCAAAGATGGCTACTTGACTTGTTCGTTTCAGTACAAACACTACTTGTCACGATGTTAATCATCTCCCCCTCACCTCGATTATCCGCCCTTGCTTTTGCCTCATAACATTGCTCCTTACCCTCTAATTGTCCATCAATCTTTCTTTTCACACCAGGCATCTTTCTTTCTTTCTTTCTTTCTTTCTTTCTTTCTTTCTTTCTTTGTGCCTTTTTATGTCTTACTAGGGCCATAAACACTGTTTTCTTCGTAATAGTTTTCTCCGTCTCTACACTTACTTACCATTTGATTTCTACTTCATTTTCTTCTTTCTCTCTGTCGCTTTTCTCTCTCTCTCTCTTTCTCATTCTCTCTCTTTTCTCTCTCTCTCTCTCTGTCTGCGTGTGTGTCTGTGCAAACGCTTAGATGAGCGTATAGATTTGCACACATACATTCACGGCACTATGGGAACCATTTCAATTTTTTGAAATAATTTTTTTTTTTTTTTATTTTCTTGGCCTCGATTTATGGCAACAGTAATGAGTTGAATTGGATTATTTGATTATAATAATAACTACAATTAATTTTCAAAATAAATCGTAAAATTTGCTTCCGTTTTTCTTCTTTGTTTATTTTAACATTAGTTTCTAATTTTTCCTAAGCAATATATATATATATATATATATATATATATATATATATATATATATATTTATATATATATAAACATATATATATAGACATATATACATATACAATACATTTTATATATATATATATATATATATATATATATATATATATTATTAGATTCAGATGCTTCCTTTGTTAAATTTAACATTTTATATTGAAAATTCCTTAAAATTTTTCCCTTTACTCAAACATCGACCAGCGGCATAAAATTTTAAATTATCTCATATACCAATAATAGCCATATTTAGGCTGATAGTTAGAGACATACCAACATAATTAGATGAGATAGATAGATAGATAGATAGATAGATAGATAGATAGATAGATAGATAGATAGATAAGAACAGAATAAGGTAGACAGATATATAAGAACAGAGTGAGATAGATAGATAGATAGATAGATAGATAGATAGATAGATAGATAGATAGATAGATAAATAAATAAATAAATAGATGGATATGAATAGAATGAGATAGATTTCTGATAGAATATAACATTTCTGAAAAATGAAAAGAAATAGCAAAGGATATTCACGTATAAGTTTTTATTTCTTTTCATTTATGTCTTTTTATATCTGTCAATCTCACCCGCTTAATTTCTTAAATTTTCTATTACTTTCATATTCTCTTCTGTCCTCCTCTATTTCACTCTCTCTTTCATTCTCTTTCTTTCTTTCTTTCTTTCTTTCTTTCTTTCTTTTTTTTTTTCTTTTCCTTTTTTAATCGTCCCAGAATTGACTGATCGACATACGCTTTCAAATAAGACTTACCCAAATATCAAATACGGGCGCTAACTCAACTCCCACAACAGTCGTTACCGCCGCACTCTAACACCCGCCCACACCCCCATTGCTGCCTGCTCCACCAGCCCCACTGCGCTGTTGTTGTTGTTCTTCTTATTACCAACTGCAAATACAACTGGTCCCCACAAGTTCCCGAAGTTGGCTTCGGTAAACATCTTCATTGTTTTGCGTGCTCCTTATATAAAACATTCTCATAACAATTGACTGGAGGTGGAATCAAAAATGTATAAAAAGAAAAAAAAAAAAAATGAAAATGATCATAACGAAGTGAAAAAAATTGTTAAATTGTAGTTCTGATTGTCCGGCTTTTGTACATATATATATATATATATAATATATATATATATATATATATATATATATATATATATATGAAAAATTAAAGGGAAATATTTTTTCAAGTTTACTTATAGTAATGATTGTTATTTACATTGTTCGGGTTGTTGTCCTCAAATCAATATTGCTATATTCATGACGTTTCTAAGCCGTTGTACGCTCCGGCCTTCTTCGGGTGTAAATACTTGCAATAACTCACCTCAGAAATAAAGACAGGTAATTATTGTTATATAGCGGTAAATATATCTAGTGTGTATTGAAATTATTTTCGTTTTTGCGGTCTTCTACCCCAAAGCTTACTTCATGTACGTCTCTATCTGACCCTCTTCAAACGAATACTGTCATTTTTTTTATGACCAGTCATCATTTTAATCAATCCTTAATATGAAATCAAGGTGGATTATAGCCTCTTTTAAAACAACGTGCACAATTTAGAAAACAATGCAGTATATTGAATAGTTAGACTCAGTGATATTAGTATCTTTCAACTGGATTCCATATGAACCTTGTATAATTAGTGGCTACAGTTCCTACTAAAGACTGCAGTGTCACATTATTAGAAACGATATCCGCTTGCAGTTGATGGTGACGTTCCTTCGCTAAGATGATATAAAATGCAATCCGCAAAAAACCCTACTCTTTCGTAGTATGTACTATCATCTTAAACACCCTCTAGTGTTAAATAGATAGAATGTTTGTTTAAGAGTAACAGGAACGTTCAACTCCTCTGAGGTATTTGCTATACCCGCATACCCAGTGTACACATCTAAAGACTGTGACTACACTATATCATTATTATTATTATTATTATTATTATTATTATTATTATTTCCTTTGATTTCTGTTGTATACACATTTCCTTATGGCTCCCAACCAGAGATCTAAGGTCAGAAATGGCTTCATAACATTTTCCACTGATAATTTTTGTAAAAATAAATATGATCACACAAATTTTATATACATATATATATATCTTCGTAATGTGTGACCTGTACTTGTGAGTACAACTTTATGTTTTTCTTTAAGGTATCGGCTACTAGGAATAACTCCAATGAGTCTATCGGTACCTTTTCCAATCAACCCGAGGGCTCCGACTACAACTGGAATTATTAATGTCCTCTTGTACCACATTTTTTAGATTTCCATTTCAAAATCCTTGTATTTTGATATTTTTTGAAGATCTTCAAAGATAAATTACCATCTACAGGGACTTCCATGTCAATAAGAAAGTGCATTCTGTTCTTGTAGTCTTTGATTACGGTGTCTAGACGATTACTCTGACTGCTCTCTCTCTGTGTATTATAAAGCCCCATAAATTCTTACAGGTCCTTTCTCCGTAACGTTCATATCAGTTACTTACAGTTTTCACCTAGTAAAAGTTGCCTATTTTGCAGTACAGATATTGACCAACGCTATCATACCGAGTTTTATATTCAGTTGGTGCCAACACCGTGCAAGCTGATAGAAGATAGTCAATTATTTCTGGATATTTATCACAGAATCTGCATTTCAGCTTAACACAATATTTCTGTACGTGTACTTGGTAATTTCTAGTTAGCA